AACAAGCAAATTTTGTATCTCTTGTACCATCAACTGATGAGGTCGGTTACACGAGGGAAGGTGTTCAACACCCACATTTGGGCCGATGAAATTCCGTACGCCATTAGGGAGCAGGATTTTCAATTTCTCTCTAAATGTTTGTCACATTGACAAGATTAGGAAAATACGTATCCTAGTAACTGTTTTTGACCATAAATTATTAATTATAATAATTATTAGTGTCCATGGGTGATTAAGGATCCATGGGCGGGTAACCTTAATTGGGGTATAACTTTAACAATTTTTAACTTGATAAGTAAAAAGTTCTTGGCAAAACTCTACTTAAAAAAGTTGTTGAGTTCAATGAGCTCTATAACTGATTAAAATTAATGTACTTATTTCTGAGACACCCTGTATAATAGAGACCTCCTTAACTTCATATTATAGCTGATTAATAAACAAAATGAAATTGACGTTAAGCCGTGGCAGACATATTATAAATTGTAAGGTACCTACACAAAGAGATAAACTAAAATCGATATTAAAAATAACGACAAATGTAATTTATAGTGAACAGTAAGTTAATTCCTATTTATTAATTTTAGATAGTCGAATTCGTATAGTGCTACAACTAATGATTTAAAAAACCTGTTTTATGGTGTCACAAAATTGTGGTTGAGTGAAGGTTGTCATATTGGGTGCCAAATAGTTAAAAAATTTTAATGTGTTGTAATTACGAAATTTTTTACTGTTCTTTATCCATTTTTTTTTTAATGATAAGTTAGATTTCCATTTCTTGACTCAGTGTTTGTAGAACCTCCTCGTTTTGAGCTCCATCTCTCTGTGACACGTTCAGTACCTAATTAGGATAGACCCATATTTCAAATGCGTTAATTCTCTCAACTTCTACCTTGTTTACAGTTTAGCGTTTGGCGTCATACAAAAGAATAAATCGGAAAACATAACAACGTATAACTGGAAGTACAATTTGATTTCCGCAGACTCTTGTCATCTTCATCCAACGAAATGCATGATTTTTGAAAACAATTATTAGATCCAGAAGGGGTGCCATTTAATTCCAATTCTATTGTGGGAATCGCAGTGGGAATCGAATCCAGCGTCTCCCATTTGCCGGGCAGATGCCTTGACCACTAGACTATGCGGTCTGCTTACCTTTCCTCAATTACCAACTTGTTATTGTGCCGCCGCAGTACGTCAGACGGAAACGGAAAACCTATCTCTTCGTACTCTAGGGGAATGAGAGGTCGAGAAAACCTAAAATTAGAAAATCGGTGGACGGACTCGCTTACGCTCGGGAAGTAAAAATGTAACATATTCTTTTTATACCGCATTCATAAACTATTTCATAATTAAAACATAAATTTCTGTTATTTAGATTAACAAGATTAATAAGAAATACTAGAAAACGTAAAGTTTGTATGCACTACGGGCCGTACTTGATAATTATACTCTAGAACAACTAACTTATAAACTCTGGGGCCAGTGGCCCTCGAGCTTGTAAGCTACTTGCCCCCGGATGAGCATAAATATCAATATAAAAGCCCTTGATGCATGAATAATTATTTCATTTGCGCATAGTTCTAACTGGTTCCAACCAAAGAAATGTCTAACGGTGGAGACGTGTTGCTTTTTTATTAGATGCCTACTCTGACAAATCTGTAATGGCCTGAATTTATAAAAATTCTTTACCCACTTGAACTTCTTATGACTTCTATAAATTTGGAGATATTAATGTGAAGTATTACCAATTATGTATGTTTGGTTGCATAAATACATTTTTGATCACATAAATTTGGTCATTAATAATGGAAATCCTGTATTAAAACGAGACTAATAATGTCTTTGCCATTTCTATTGAAACACCACCTGTTGATTTTTCCTAAAATTTAGCAATTGCTGTAATAACCCAAACCTCCCGCCTTTTATTGACATTGAACAAAATTTGAAAAAGCCCGCTAAAATTTGAAATTTGGCCTTGGCTGTGATCGTCTACAAAAGTGGGACCCTACATTGTGTTTTGAAAACTGGCGGGAGGCGTTCGTTCATACAAATTGGCGCACTGCGGAGCGGGAAGAGTGACGGATTTAAAAAAACTATGAAAAATAAATCCAATAAGAGCCCAAGAGACCTTGGCCAAGGGCCCCAGAAGAGCTTAATGAATTTATTCCTCAAAGAAAAAAAAACCTTTATTTTCACTCGAACCTGAAAACATAAAATAAAGATTAACAACCTTACAAGTACAACAAGAAACAAAAAAAATAAAAAAGTCGCGGGATTCTCAGAAAGTAAATGGATGGCAACGTCCCAGATATTTCGGTAGTGTGGCCTCTACAAACAAGATGGGGGCGCACAGCGGGGGCAGGGCGACGGCCACACTCCCCGTGAAGGTCCACATAGTCCTACCTCACCACTTCACGCGCGTGGTCTTACGCACCCACCTGACATAGGTTGACCTTCCTGTATCCCGCAAACAAGGTAGCTGTGTAAACTCCGAGTCCGCTAGGGCCGGAAGTCTAGCAAGACCCGCAAACACTCGCACGGAGACGCCGACGCCACCGCGTCCACACCACACGACCCCCGAGTTAACTAGCGTTATCAAAATGAGTATTTGGATTTCAGACAAGCAATAAGCAAAATTTAATTGGCCACACTCCATCAACACTTGCTTTAAATAACAAAGAAATTTAAATGAGATTAAATTATGCACGTGTGATCAACAATCTTATACAACAAGGAAAATGAAATGAGAAATTATTCATGTTTTGTCAATAACTTTAAAGAACAAGGATTTTGCAAGAGATTAAATTATTCACATTTTGGCAATGATTTTATTGAAATTAAGCTACATTTACGTCGCTGATTCTTACCAAAGAAAATAAAGAAGCTATGGATTTTATTGAAATATTTATCTGACATTAAGCAAAGAAGTTACGACTGCATTAAAATGGTCTGGGCAAGGTTACGTTGTTGACCGAATTAAACAAACACCCCCCCCCCCCCAACACATCCCCAAACAAAATACACATAAATAAAAACACATACGAAATAAACAAAACAACACATAAAAAATATAAAAAATATACCACACATAAAATATGCAAAATAAATAAAATATAGGTAATCGTCGGTGCACATTCGCTTTGAATTGGGCCTTTCTTTCAATAACATTCATTTTCAAATGCATCGACAAAGCTTTCGGTCAACAACAAATCCCCAATGACTAATACAAAAATTCACAAAGGTTGCCCTTGAAATTCCCCGGTCAACACCCCGTACCTGCACCCTACCACTTTCTCTTTCTATTTTGAACGGCTGAATATTTGAAAACTACATGAAATTTTCAGGCATTAGAGTTTACAACAAACGAATAATAAATCGAGGAAAAGCCATTCAAATATCTTAGATCTTATAATGTCAGTCAAATTGATGTGCCTAATTAATTGATGTTACTAACACAAAGAAAATCCCCCGTCCCCCAGACTATGATATTATTAATTTTCTGATGCCGTTCTCAACGTTATTTTTGTTAAAGATTCACTTGTTCAGATTACGTTTGAATTTACTTTACTCACACGTGCTCAAATTATGCAACGCAAAATAATAACTCGAAAATTGCCATCCAACTTTCCGCATAACATTCGCTAAATAAATCTGCCCTAGCTAACGTAATTCCCTGAAAAGCCCTACTAAAACGGATTGAAATTATGTTGAAAAGATTAGTACGAAAATTAACGGCCATGGCGTCATCCGGAAGCGCCGCCATTTTTGTAGCGTCACATATGTGTGTGGTTCCCGTGTCTCACATACTCCGTAACCATCGAGAAGCAACGCCGCTTCTTCCACCAGCACACACGGAATCACGTGGAAAACATACCTCTCGGATCTTCAAACCAAATACGTGCTCACCACCGAAATAACCTCTCTGTGTTCGAACGTAGCAGAGAATTCTTACGTCCGCTGATTCGTCAGGGGGGTGGAACTCCATGAGAAGAAATCAGCACTAGAACAGGAAACAAACAGCGCACAGACATTTGAAAAAAACACAGAGAGCACCAACCTGACGTCTTACTCGAAAGAAAGACCAAGTCGAACTGCCCGCGACTCACCCTGCTCAAACACACCCTTCTGCGCATCTCTCTCTTAGTGGTTTTCGTTTCTTTCCATTTCCATCCCTTTTCTTACCAAAAGTTTGGCGCGCGGAAATTTGGTTCGAAACGGCTTACTACATTGCTAACAGTTTTCGGTTGATTGACAACGGCTTTTAGTTAGAAAATTGTGGGAATATGAGCGTTGCCAAATTTACGATCAACAAGTGGTGTTTCAATAGAAATGGCAAAGACTATATTTACAAATCTGTCGTAGTTGAACATTAGGAAGCAAGTAGTTTTCTGCAAGAGAAAATTGCAAAGTGCGAGGCCACTAAAATCCAAAGGAATCCGTAGTAATCACATATTATTGGTCATTTTACACAAATAATAAATCATTTAATAAATAACGTCATTCCAGTTTTATCTCGTTTATATGTAGATGAGTGATAACTGATAACTGATAACCAATTACTATCTAATAAAAATATCGACAAAACAAGATTACCTACGAATAATAAAAATTTTAAATAATGGAAAACACTGATCTACGGTTTGATACTAATGTAAATGAAAAATAAAAAATATTTTTACAAATTTTCATGTAAAAATCAGTTCAGCTATCGAAGAAACATCTTCGTTGGAAAATCCATAATGGGACCATTTGGTCACGATAACTGGAACAAACTATCGACAAATTTTGTAAATTACTTAAAAGTTAATTACAAAAGTAATAAACTGATTGATACCTATAATCAGATGTTTAAAATTTATGAAATCGCTTTCATACCTGCTCTTTTGAAAACAAAAAACATGTTGGAGGGATATAGGTATTATCTCTTTAGGCAACATAAACACAATTCAAAATTTATATTTTTTTTATTAAAATAAAAACTTTTGGTAAGAAGTTGACGCAATTAGGTACATGTTAATACGAAAGCCTCTTCTTTACTACAGTACAGATTTTACAAAAATCATATAAATCGTAAGTACTGAAAGGAAATATTTGAGTGGTAAATAAATATGTAATAAATAAACCAAATATTTTTTTACTGGGCAACTTGGGAAACTATATTCGACCAAAAAGTGGTATATTCCTTGAGAACAGTACCCCTACAAAAGATGACACGTAAAAAAATAACATTAAAAAATAATGAAAAAAATTACGTGAAATAAACTTGTCCGGGCTGAGCATTGTGAGGCGCTTGCCAGACGAAAACTGCTTGCTGTTTAGGTTTGGGATCAGCATGTGTGATGGCGCTACATTCTGGATGAATTTTCGTGTTGGGGGTTTCTTCCCATTTGCCTAACCACCCGTCAGAGGCGGCATCTCTAGCTTGAATGAAAAATCCTTTGAAGTATTCCGCTCCTTGGATAGTTACTAAAAGTAAAAGGTTTCTATTAGTGATATTTCAGAGAATTTTAACCTTTCTAGATTCGAGGGTGGTTGTGAAACAAATAATAAATTGGATGGGTTTGTGGATAATAGGGGGACTATTAATCAGGAAGACGTTGTGAAATTAGCGGCAATAATCACTTAATTGGATGGCAAGATTACGTAAAGTTTCTTCTGGTGCAACATGATGTAAACTACATACCTATATATGTGGTAATTATATAATGCGAATCGTGTTAATCTGACTTCGCTGGGATTGATTTCCGTTTTATGCACGCTTGGAGTTGTATATAATTGTTGGTAATTTATAATAATCAAGGACATTTATTGACATATCGCTTGTGTTTTTGTCGTTTGAAACTGCTATGCTCAAAATAAATAGTTTGTGATTTATGGAATTTATTGCCCATGTTATCAACATTTTATGCAAAAATGTAAAGCACTAAATTTTGTAATACAGGGCTTGGACAAAACATGTTATGAAATTAAGTAAACTAATTAACTTAGTTCGAGTCTCTATTAATTAACGGTTGCGAAAATATATTTTAACGGCACTCTAAAATATTATCTTCTAAAATATTATTCAAAACGATGATGTCATCGAGAGGTTTAGTTTAAATGTTGTCTGTTATTTATAAACACTTTCACAAATAATTTATTTTACCCTTTTTTTAATAATATGCTAATATCTTTGAATCCGTTGCAGTTTGAAAAAAATTTAACGTCTGTTACCGAATGTAAAAACGTAAAAATCTTACGAAGTACATTCTACTCCAAATTTTAAATAACTATTTTATTCAACAGCGTGTAATCCTATTAATTCACAATTAATTTTTTATTGTTTATTGGATACTTAATGGTTAGACATCAATATAATGTAACATACGAATGCATAATGAATATTAAATTTTAATCTGCCTTCTAGCTGTGGAAAATACTGTAGTACATGAATAAAATAGTAGTTCGGACAAGTGTTAATAGAAATGGGTTGCTACGACACCCATATTAGAATTTATTTTGCATGACCTCTTCAATGATAATAAAAACAATCATAAATAACAAACACCGAGTTAGAAATGAATGACAAACCCGGTGAACATATTAATAAAGATAACTTTTTTTTTTATTTTACTCTTGCGTGACATCTGCTATACGTCATAAATACTGTTTAACGTCGAATTGTCAATTGCATTACTAAGCGGCAAAAATCAATGTCTTGACCTCATAAACGGACAATATTTTCTGTAATTTATAACTTGCACAATTTAGTACTTTAATGCAATATACGGCAGTTATTATTGCTTATAACAGAATATGCATAACACAACTAACCACTTCGACAGTCTCCGCACTGTTATTAATATTGGGGCAGGATTTATTAAAAATTAAATGATACAAAAATCACATCATTGCATTAAGCTTGCCGTTTTTCGGTAGGTACGTTTTGTTGCAAAACAAAAAGTTTTACCTCGACATTTGAGTATGGTCAAATATAATCATTAAAACATACATCTACAATCTCTCAAACTTTTAGCGAATGTTGTTTTGTACATAACTCTATTATCGAATATTATCATCTAAGTAATGAAAAATATATAAAGCGTACCAATAAACACATTTCACTTAGCAAATATATAGTTGTCGTACGTTTTGTTATGCTCTTTATGTGGTTTTTGAAAATATTTTTGAAACAATTTAAACCAAAATTTATTATGAGTAAATACTAGTATAAAATGTTAAACATGCAAGAATTTTTCGATGTGCTCTAATTTAACACCAGTATCGTAAACCACATATAGATAATACCTACATGACTTTTCCTGAAAATTATTTGTGAATTTTTGTATTACTAATTTTTGCTGAAAAACTCAATTTAATAATTGTTAAAAATTTTTGAGTACGTGAAAATATCTTATTAAAGCACAATGCCTTTTTGAGATTATCGTTACAGAATAGTATCTTTTATTAAATAAAATAAGGTATATTATGTTAATTAAAGCTGATCAGAGTTGTTGAGAATATAAAATTCCGAACTTCATTACGACTAATAAATGATTAATATCAGAATTTAAAACGATTAAATAAAAACACAGCGGAATTAATAATACATTTTTTAATATCTAAAAGATATTAATATATTGTAGTTTAATTATGTTCTGCAGTCATTTAAACAATTGTAGTTTAGTTGTAAGTAAAATTTAGTCAAAAAATGCAGAATGTACAGGTGAGACATCTATTTTATTTTGATAACTGCTATTTCAAAATTTTTTTTTTGAAACATTAATTATTGACGAAATAAAATATTAATGATTTAATATTGAAAGTGTATTTATTTATTTGCTAGAAAGTATTGCAACACTTTTTGATGGACTATATAACGCACAACCTAATTTTTTTGCAAAATTGTGTATATTCTTTGTATTTTGAATCTAGGTAAGAAATTTCTTATGGGCCCACCAACTTAGTTTAATTATAGTAAAACAATTTTTCTGATAAAAGGATATAATTTTCAAAGCGAGTACCTATTGCTGATAGATATTTCTGGTATAACCCGAAAAGATGAAACAAATGGGATAAAAAATCAGCGATAAAATACGAAAAAGTTCAGACAGGTCAGAACCTAAAAGACAATTTTTGCGGACAAATCGTTGCTATTTATAGACGAGGCGTAGCCGAGCACGAAATAGCAGATGATTCCTCAAAAACTTTTTTAGGTACGTGTTACAAACAACTTTTTTTAGTTAAAGCTTCCAAAATCAGCAACAATTAGTCCGCAAAATAATTATTTTACGGACTTAAATTATGAGTCCAGAAAAATAGCTATTTTTGGGATCGTATATTAAAAATGATATTTTTGGTAGCAACTGCACAATTTATGGCCAATAAAATTTGAAAAAAAAAATATGCTGTGGGCATTGAAACACATTGGAAAAAATTTTCGGCAAGGACTGTCAAAATTGTTGCGTAAACACTTTTTTCCCAGAAAACTTATTTGTTAATATGTATAGAATGTTTGCATGATTTTGTCAAATTTCAAAATTATTTTTTTAATGTAATATATCATCAAATTTTCAACCATGAACAAAATATGCAATTTGTTTAAGCATTTTTGTTAAACTGCATTCTTAATTTTTATAGAATTCTTTCCACATATTTACAATATAATACACGCTTCAAAAACAAATTATATTTTATAATGTATGCAGCTACTTTTGATGAATAAACTCTGCATGAGTATTCACTGTTTCAAGGTTTACATGTAATGTTTTTACTATGAGAATAAATATTTTTGTCATGCAATTACTTCCGTTAGTTAAAAAAATTCTAATGGAAAATTTGGATACTCATTATCACTTAATACTATACATAAATTTCCTTCTAATTACGAAAACAAAATGATCACATTCAGACACAATATTATTATGCTCTGCACGCCTAAATTTGCAACTGTACCTTGAGCGACTATACCCAATGTCAAAAGTACTTTCATGCAGAATTTATTTTTATTTTCTTTTATCTTCATCTCTGGAGTTTATAGTTTCCAAAAATGTATTTTTATATTTTATTTTTTTTAAATTAATAAAAATATGTAATATGATAAGCCCAAAAATATACACATAATTAGTATATATTTCCTGGTTAGATGCTTGTTTGGTGAACAGAAAATGGGATCATTAATGCTTCAATAAATATAAAAAAAATACAAAAGTTTTACTAAAAATGTGAGATAGGATGATTCATTTTTAATAAAGAAAATAAATATATAGCAAGCTTGTGGGACATCCAAAATATGAAATCGATAAATTTCTTGTATATTATTACACTCCAACCACCCCTTAATATAACATGGAAAACATTCTGAATTTATACGAACAATCGTTCTAGAAGTACATTCATGTATAAAACAATCAGATACAGTTTTGCTAGTAGATTACTAACTTAACAAAGCTTTGGATGTTTTCTTAATAATAATCTAATCAACGGAACGTTAAACTGAACAATGCATGCCAATATTTTAATCAATATGCCAGGTTTTCCTTTAATTAATGTCAATTATACTATTAAAATGTTAGTTGGAAGTTCTGCGCTGTGAATTTTAATATCAAGCCTTATGCAGACATATTAAAATGCTAATTAATACTAACCTGACAAAACGTTATTAACATTAAATTCTAATTCCCCTCTTTTAAACAGAATGTATGTTTTTAGTTTATTAAATCATTAACTAGATGTGAGTGACCTATTCACAGTTATTATTACTTCTACTTTTTTTTGAATATAACATCGATTTCTAAATTTTTGAATCATTCAAATTTACTGTAATAGACGAAGACTGTGCACACTCAAAGAAATAACATTTTCTTAAAATGTTGATAAATAAAGTCCATTTATACTCTTCAAAATATTTAGCTACCTGTGATTTGGGTTCCCGGTCCATAGTGGGCACTACTCTGTAATACTTGATACGGATTAGTGGACGGTGGCTGCGGTCTAGCTTGCCCATGGTATGGTTGATTGGGTCTAGGTTTAACACAGGCGTCTACAGGAGCCCCGTCAGGAAAACCTACTACGTTAAGCACAGCCCCAGCCAACACTAACAAGAACCAAATCAATGATTTTTCCATCTCCAAGTGCCTACTCAAGAAAGAATTGCACTTTGCGAATGTTGATTCAGTACTGGTAAAATCAACACTTAGGACCAGGAAATGTAGGTTGGGCCAAAACTGTGAACTACTTTCACTTACTCTTGCTTGCCTAGATTATCGTGATATAACGCGTGGAGTGGTTTCATTCAAGCTTGCTATTAGTAATAACACTAATAACTAATGACTGGGTGACATGTGGTCTTGGTGTGGCATCGCGCGACATTTCTTCGGTAATCGGTGATGCAAGATGCAAGGAATTGTTACGGGTATTAACGATCGCTAAATGTTAAGCGTTATATTTTACGATGGTGTTGGTCAATGGACAGAAACGGACGTCACAAATTTATAGCTTTTTACTTCTCGAGCGATGGGTAAAGGAAGTAATAGGGTAATTATGGCGAATTTGTATTTTTATTTTCATTCAGTCTGAAATTTTGCATTTATTTAAGATTATGATGTTGACAGCAAAACACTAAAGAAAATTTGTTTTTGTTTGTTTTTTCTTGTTTCTAGTCTAGAAACGTACTTTTATTTCTTATATTTGCGCCCACAGTTGTCTCAAGACAAATACATAGTCAATAAATATTATTTATCTCAGACATAATTTAAACGTTGAGAACACACTGACATTATGATTGTATTACCATATTTGTTGTCTTCAAAAGCGAACAAACTTCGGTTACATCATCTATGGTCTTACTTTCCGGACTCTGCAGGTTTCTGTGATATTTAAAATCTTAAGTATTGGACTGATTGTGGTCGAATTTTGTATGCATTTTAGGGGTATCGTATAGATGGTAAAATGCCTACTAATTTCATCCCAGTAAACAATATGATGACGTCAACTCACAATGTTTCATAGTAAATGGTGTTTAATTTTTTTTAAATAATGTACTCTTACAGGTGCGTCCAAATTTTTGGAAAAAATTGACCAAAGGTTATTTCGACAGGATTTCCCTCGCCTCTTAAGTACAATCCAACAAATCTCCCGAAAAATAAAAAAAAATATTTTGGGAACTGTTACTTGTGATAACCTCTGTCCATTAAAACAAATATCGATAAGTAACACCAACAACAGTGTAGGAAGCTAAATAATATCTCATAGATGTGTTTTAACAACCTGCACTGTATATTTTTTGAATTCTTGTATGGTTTGTTCTTCTGAATTCGCATTATGTTACGAAAACACACTTGGTTATATTTGGTTTGGAGTGCACTTATCCTTAAGAAAGGAACAGGGGCGATTACTGAGTTGAAAACTTGATGAGGCAAGAACAAGATATTTCAATATTTAAATATGGAAAAAATTATACTGTCGTACTTGCATTTTTAGCTCATATGCCAATTTTTCGCAAAAATGAAATTTTACAAAGTTTAAGGAAGTTAAAAATGTGTAATTTTTCTATAACAGAAAATCTAATTTGTATCTATTTGATTAAATATAATATCCAGAATTTCGGAAAAGATTTTAATATCTGTTGTTTAGGATTCATTTCACTTCCTTAAAACGTTCCGACGGTTAAATATCAATATCAAGTTTTCCATAAATTTTGTTAAAAAATAGTCACTATGTGTAATTTACCTAAAGTTGTTTGCAACAAATTCCTAGTTCCGAAAATAATCTGTAAACGAATTTACTTTGCAAAACATAAAATACAGTACCAGTTTGCCGAAAAATTAATGCGAAAATTTCTAGAAAAATTACACTTTGTCAATACATACTGATTTAAGCTTAAGTAGACAAAAATTACAATTTCATTTATGACCATCATCAAAGCAAACTTAGAAACGTTTAATACATTTTTTTTTGTAAAAGTTTGAATAAATCATGCACTCACAGAATTATCGCGAAACAATCGACGGCCTAATTTTACATATTCTGCTTTTTAATACTAATTCAATCTTGCAAAGTTCACCGCAATCACATCTCGTGCTGAAATATCATTGTCTGTCACTATTACAAGCTCGGAAAATGAGGCTAACCTCAGTTTTATTTTTTTTTTTAACACATACTGCTTATGAGTACATTACGGACAGCCTACATATTAAAAGGGATCATTTTTACGTAGGTACATAACAGAGGCAAGATTCGAGTTTGCGTCTGTGTGATGTGTTGAAGCGCACTGTTTAATTTTGGGAACAGCGAATATTCCCCTACCAAGATAAGAATAACAAATTTTATTTAAAATATTAAAAAAGACATTTTTTTTTATTGGCCAGAAACGTATCGGTGAAAGATAATAAAAATATAATATTCGCTCATCTGCCTCATAGTAAAAACGACCCCTGGAAACGAATAAACATTTGCTTCAAAATTATGAATATTTTGATAAAGAACAAGATTATGCCGGTACACCTACCGAGTTTAGCCATTTGAAAATCGTTCGATCAGCATTATTTTAGCAACACATGTAGTGTAATACTAATAATGAAACGCTGAGGTGTACCGTTCTTGAGATTTGTTCAATTCAAAAGATATAGTGAACCATTGATTTAATCTTTAGAAAATATACAAGTCACAGCTTAAGAGAAAAAAATTGAGCAACCCAGTCAGCACTTCGAATACCAAGACCTTCGGGGTAGAACGCGGAGACGAAGTCAACGCTGCTATGGAGACGCAATTGGACTGGTGGTTATATTAATATGAAAGATGATCATACAATATGGATTTTTTTGCAGGAGAAAAACACAAGGCGGATTCGTATACCACCAGTATTATTGTATAACATTTAAATAATTTTAATATAGAATCTTTTGAGACGACGTCATTCAATTCTTAGTAGCTATAAGTATCCAAATTTTGGTTAGCGTTTCACTATCTACATGATATTCCTAATGTACATACAAAATTTAACAGCAATCGGTCCACTAGTTTTGGAGATTATTTACCTAATGAAAACTGACTCAAGCGACAGACAGACGGAAACGAGAGACCACTTTTTCGTAGTCTAGGGGTCAAGAAAACATGAAATTAGCAAGTCGTCCGATGCACTTGACTACACATCAGTGCTTTCTTGTCTTACGCTCGGGAAGTAAAAGTTACATTTTCTAACAATACTTTATAATGTAACTTTGCAACTGCAAAATCGAATCTTCGGAAATCTTGCTAAAGTTTTAAGATTATAGTAAGTAAGCATGGCTGTTTCTTCCGTGTATCTACTCTCAAAATTTTGCGATATAAATTTATCTAAAATATTCAAAGAAATAGTATTTCTGGTTTAACAATGCATGTAAAGTACTCCAAAAGCTATAAGGTTATATGGCCATCATAAAATTATCCCATTGTGTTGAAGTTAAGTTGTTTGCAAAAGAACAGATTTTAAGGTCATAAATAACGTGTCCACTGCAGCTCGACCGGCTGCTGTCGTTTCGTCCAGGGGCGCCTTTCACTAAATATCTAACTACCTACTACTACTACTACCTGTAGCTGCAAAGGGTTCCGAAATAACCAGTCGCTTTGAAAGCCTGCCCTGTTAAATGTGAGCAAGAAATGTTTAGAAGACAATGTATTGTCAACCGGTAAGCTTAGTGCGAACCACACAAAAGGGGTATTTATATGCGGTCAACTACTTTTATGATGGTCATATAACCTTATAGCTTTTGGACTACTTTATGACACACTTATGAATGAGGCAGTTTATTTTTTTGATCATATGATCAAATCAAAAAGGGCTTACCCCATTTTCCCGGAAATTTGGGAACGTGCTGTTATTATTACACTGCAGATATTCAAATTAATACGCATGTCCTTGCAAAAATGTTGATGACATCATCACAAAATTTTGGCTACATGCAAAGTTACACAGGCATATACATAGAATGGATGTGAATTAAGTACAGATTATATTAAAGCAATTAAAATATCGTCATTAGTGCATTAACAAAGCTTATCAATTATTATTTATTAATAGAATCAAGTGTTTCTTAAAGTACGAGGTAGTAATATTGATTCATAAAAAGAATGGCTCCAGTTGGTTTGGATTTAAACATAACCTGTCAACATGTGACTCGGCACTTTCTTTGATAAATAGTACAACCAATGCTTACCTGAAACAAGGTAGATATTATACTTACTTCTTCCTCCGATTTGACTAAATCTGTTGACACTGTGTTGACTTACATGTTGTTAAAACGTTTTACTTTCACTAGCCCTAGATGTCTAAATGATGTCTGAACAATCATTCACAGAAAGAAGCTAGAAATGGTGAATATCCAGATAGCTGTGAGTTTTGTCAGGGGCCGTATTGAGTCCGGTTTTACAGTTTTATTGTTAACCCCCCACGAAAAAAAAGGTGTTTATAACTTTGAAACCTTTGTATGTCTGTGGCATCGTAGTTTGCTAACTGATAACTGATAAGTGTTAACCAATTTCAATACTTTTTTTTTGTTGGAAATCTGGTTTAACACAGATAGTTAATTAATTAATTTTTCCTAACGGCGTGCGGAAAGTGATACTTTTCCGCACTAGTGCGGGAAGTAAAATGTAAGTACATTTCAAAGATTTATTGATTAATGATTACAACTATTTATATTAAATGTAAAAGAACAATTTATATAGTTATTTTTCTCATTGCTTTCATTTCGATCTGTCCCTTCAGTGGTTTTCATCTCAAACACCTTGCTAACATTTGCTGCCTCCTTTTGTTCAGATCCAACTTCAGCTTCGTTTTATCGATGATAGTACAACTGTTACGCCAATACAGCTACTTCTGAAACTTTCTTTACTTGCTTTTCATTGCACCATGCCCAAAATTCCTTATAAGCCTTCTCATATCGGTCCTTACATTTTGTCGGTATTAGGTCTTGAATTGCATTCTCTGCTTCAGCAACTATATCCAAAGGAATAGAATCGCTAGAGGAATCTTTGTTTTCCATCTTCAATTGGACACACAGAACAGAACACGATTAGGTATTATTGACAAATATTTTGCGAAAAACTTGTTTGTGTTTAAACAATTGCATTCGCAATACCTTGACTACTCAACGATATGGTTTTCGAATGTGCTGCGATTTAAAATTTGACGAAAAACTTAATTGCTGAAAGATTTAACAGACGCTGTTAGGAAAAACATTGTTCCTAACGCGCGCGGGAAGTGCGAATCCGAAACTCGTGCAGGTACCGAAACTCGCTACGCTCGTTTCAGTAACACCTGCACTCGTTTCGGAATCGCTGACTTC